GGGAATACATTTTGACCCCACCTTAAATTGACTGCAGAACATCCAGTGACTCAACATAATAGCATATATATATTTGGAACTCCCCAACTCCTATAAATTACACTACAGGCAAGGAAGCTGCAGAGATACTCTACATTCAGGATCATCTTACATTCATCTGCATGCATCTATTTAAAACCAGAACAGTTCCATTGAAACTGCTGGATATAAACACTTAATTCAGAATATTCCAAGAGATCAAGGTAGGTTCTATGACTTCTGGGAGCTCGAAAATTCTTGAGAAACAGAATTAACAGCCCACCAAGGCACTTTCATAAAACTACCTCTTTTATCAGAAATACATCATTCCCTGCTTGAGTAATAGGAATGAATATTTACTTTTGCAAAAATGCCTTGGAGTTCCTACTATGATAGAGTGTGAGGTAGGCCAGAAGGCAGTAATAGTTATCTACTATACCTATTTAAAATATTTCAAGACTCACATTAGCATGCTATTAAAAAACCCACATCTATAATAATAAAAAGGATGGTTTAAAACATGCTAATCAAAACATTTTGCCATGCAGATGAGAATAATTCTGTTCTGAGTGTGTCTTTCAGTCACATTATCTGACTGTGGTTAATACAAGAACATTTTGGTCTTTCTGTTCCCTTCATAGTTGAAGGCGCTCAGGTTGTAGAGCTCCCTTTAGCATGGGGAAATGGAGTCACTTTACAACTTTCCATTGCATTTCCAGCACCTACATGTCATAAATTATCATATATTTCCAAGTAATTTGGTGATGAACAATTATACTTGAAAACTTTGTCAATTCTTAAGGGTCAATCTGACTATATCAATCATACAATTTTAAAATCGGTGTTAATTTGAAAATAAGTATGAAACAGTGGCAAATAGAATTGAGAAATTCTAAAGGACTGTTATTTTTGAAGCCAAAAAAAATTCCATGCACAAAATGAAGGTCAAAGAATATCCTGCAATTCATGAGCAGTCACCTACAGGCAACCCCCAACCTACTTCCTGACCTCGTCCTTTTCTTTGTGTCACTTCCCTAAAAAAAAAAACCAGGCATAGTTGTTTCAGAGAGATGAACTGGCTGAACAACCATTAACAGAAAACAGAAATGACTGTGAATGTAACAGTAAACTATTCAGCATTCTATGATGAAAAACACGTTCTCCAGAAAGCAGAATTCTCTTTCATGTTACAAATGGGAAGAAGGAGACATGTTCCCTCTTTAACCCAAGCAAATGTTATGGTGCTCCACAAGAGGGCTGTCTGGACACCCCAATCACATTTTCTCCATGTTGTCTTAGGTACAGCGTGGTTTCTTCTTTTCCATGGTTTGGAAAAGAAAAATTTAATGCAGTGTTAGAGCCATGGCATACAAACCTCTTAACTGCTGATTTAATTTATATGCACTTTCCTTTAGAACAGAAAGTACTAAAAACATGCTAATTTAAGTTAATGGACAGATTCATTACAGCAGTGTTAGTGTATGGATTTTAAATGTAATTAAAAAAATTACTAGCCCATCATGTAGAAACTTTCTGAAAACATTGAATTTGGATAAATTTTGTAGCCATACTGTTTAAAGTGACACATTTAGAGTTGTCTCATCAGCTGTTCCTTCTGGATGATTTGCTGGCAAGTGAACGACAGCAGCTGTAACAGCAATAATATTCACAGTGATCCCAGAGCGTATTATCTCAGAATTTTGCTCAGCACTATTATAATAAAAATCGCTGTATTCTCCAAAGTAAATATAGAACAGAAACGTATCGTTAAGAGCAATTATAGTGCAAAAGAAAAAAAAAGTGTAAAAACTCTGAAAATGTAAGCCCATGAAAGCAGCAGCATGGCCTTCAAATAATAGTCACAAAAAAGACTTAGGGTGGATTGGCTTCTAATTAGATATGCAAAAATATTCAAATTGTGAAGTGCTTCAAGTAACCTTTTAAATATGAAAGGCCTGATGATATGAAAGTAAACCAACATTTTTTGGAGAAAATTATTGGTCCTTACATTTTAAAAACGCTTTTTATCACCCTCTCAGTGGTAAAAGGTATTTTAAATTTCTTCCTTGGTCCCGATCCAACCATCATTCATATATTGGAGAGTGGTCAGCATCAGATTGTTCAAAGACAGAATTCTTTTACCAGAATTTTACACTTCTTAGTAATTAAAGGTTTTAATGTGATGTCAGGCATTACGGAACATCTATTCTACAATAAAGTTGAAAAGATCTCCTTTCCCAAGCTCACTCAGAATTTGAAGTGCTCTAAAATATGAGTACACATGTACTAAGACTGTCTTGAAGTTGTGGTGCTTGTCAGAGTACAGGCTAGATCTAGCAATCATATTTGTGGACGTTTGGCAAAAGTACTCTCTGCGTGGCTCAAACCCAGCCCTCAACTGCTGTCAGTCAGTCAACACTTAGCTCAGATCCTTTGAAGAATTTTACCAAAAACGACAATTTAAGGATAAATTAGGCTTTTAGAAGTAGAATGTACAAAGCACATATGCAACAACCCAAAAATCTAGGTTCCTGCCAGCTAGCTTTGCCAACCTTGATTTTGTCACATTCTCTCTTTACAATCTGAACCAAACTGTTGGAATAGATTTGAGACTCTTTTTAGGAAAACAGCTGTTGTTCACCTTTGTCACTTTTTATTGATGTTTTTCATAGGTATAACCTTGACATATATTTGGCTAACAGAAATGGACAAACATAACAAATCAAATCAAAAGTAGAAAGCAAGCAGTGAAAGGTGTATGGGACAGTTTATGGAAACCGAATAGATGAGTATAAATATCAGCAAAGAGAAAAAAAAAGTCTGATGCTTACACCAGGAGAGAGAGGAATTTTTAAAAGGGGAAAGGAAGTTTGTCAGCTCTGTTACAGTGTTCATCCACGTATGTGAAGACTAAATTCTAGGGCGGAAAAGGAGATTGAGGGAAAGGACATCTCTCAATAGCTTACCTGAGCTTGAATCAAGGTGAAACCTGAAGTTCATAAATATGGAAAGAGTTGAAAGCCAAGAAATATTTGGCAACACGAGCCTAAGTTCTGTCCAAAAGATAGACTATTACATTCTATCCTTGCAAAAATACTCAGGAACATTCCAAGGACAAGTTATATGGCATTATAAGACACGCTCCTCTTTGCCAAGCAGGACTTCTGTTTCACATGAACCATTCTGGAAAAGAAACGTCAGTACCTCAGCTACGTAACTGAGCTTACTTTGTTTCAACAAGTTATGAAGAGTCAGCGGAGCCACAGTAACTCACCAAGCCTGCTATAAACCATCATAAAGGTAAACTATTTTAGCCTAAGATAACATGTTTCAAAGTGTGTTTGCCACGGATGGAGTACACACGTTTAAAGAATGCAGACATCAGTAATTTGAGTACGTGCCTGAGCTTTCACACATGTAAATCTTCTCCACAAAAATAATGCATCTGCAAAATGTTATGACTGCTTCTTACAAATCTCCACTCCTGCCTGTAAGATTCCATCTAAAACTAGGTTTTCACTTGTCCAACACTGAATTCCAAAAAACCTTTCCATGTTACTAAAGTGATTGGTTCCCCCACATGTACTTGTATTGAAATCTTGTGTCTGTCAAGATGCCTCAAACTAAGCCATCATCTTAATCAGGTATCTCCTGATTAAGTGAAAGTGAAAAATTAGTGTCAAATGATTAGGTGAGCCCATCAGCCTTAAAAGACAGAAACACAGTTATACTATACATAACTAAACTAAGAAGTTGTATTCTCCTCTGTTCTTTTTTTTTTTTTAATGAGTTCCATTTTTGCCATGTTCTGTATTATATGAGACAACTTTAGTTCTGTACCAAGTACATATTTTTCAGCAATAAAAACATATTTGTATCTATGCACATATCAAAAGAATTCAGTGGCAATTAAGGTAGTCCCCTCCTAAAGAAAACCCTTCTCCTGCTGTTCTTCCATTTGAGATTTGTGTTCAATTACTTGCTCAGCGTGGGTGGACGTTTCTAAGCTACGGTTTCATAATCACACACCAGTGTCTTTTTACAGCAGCCTTGGTTTAAATTTTCAGTATTATGGTGCATTCAAGGTTTTTTTTCTTCTCCCACCGCACAGTCCAAGCCTGTATCTGCACCTGTCTTCACACACAAGGGTGTTGATTATCTTTGTGTCTGCCCATATTGCTTAAAAAATCCTGCTGCTTCAGCACAAGAGAAATATGCAATCGCTGGTTTCCCACGGACGGGAGATTAGATAAACGTTAAAAAAAACTCTATGATTGAAAACAAAAGAGAATCTGAACTAAGGTGATAAACTCTGAGAAAAAGCCAGTCCAACATTAACTCAATCAGTAAGTCAAACTAAGACCTTTCACTTTCTGATAAAATCTAAACAAGGTACACTATTAAAAGCAAGGTATTTTTAATGATAGAAAATGAAAAAAGTACAAGCCTGCTCTCAATCATTTGAAATTATGTGCTTTGAGGGAGAAAATAACTATCCCAGTAGTTGAAATGAAACTTATCGATGACGCTACCTCTCGGAACAGAAAAATCCCGAGTGGAGCTGACAAAAAGACACAAAACCCCGGTTTGCTAGAGCAGGTTTCCAGCACCTTGGCCGCAGAAACCGCGGCTTTCCGGGGTCCCTTCACGCTGCGTTAGCGCACCCACGGGAGAGAACTGCCCGCGCCCAAATGGCGGAGCCCGGCAGCTCCACGCGTTACTGTGGCAGCCACCACCAGCGACATCTGCCACCCTTCACAGGGCCGAGGCCACCGGGAGCACGGACACGGCCACGCAGGGGTGCGCAGGACCCCGAGCTGGCACAGGCGCGAAGGGTGAGCCCGAAGGCGGCTAGAGAGCGGCGGGACGGCCCCTCAGGCCTGGGCGGGAAACTGCAGCCCCCTCCCCTTCCCTCCCCTCCCACAGCACAGCCCTCCGCTCCACCCACACCGCCCCGACCCGGAGGAGGAAGCCGAGGATGGCGTCCCTTGACCCCGGCCTGGCACGGAAGAGCTCACGGAGAAGTGATGGAGGTGAGACAGTACCGGGGAGGGAGCCGGGCGGCGGGAGCGGGGGGGATGCGCGCCGCCGTGCAGGACAAAGGGACCGGCTGGGAGCGGGAGGGGCCGTTAGGGGCGGGGTCCGCGCGCCACTCAGCCAGCCGCCTGCGCGCGCGCGTGTTAACGTGCGTGGGTGCGCCCCTCAGCCCCCTCAGCGGCCGGCAGCCCCCGCGGCGGGAGTGGGCGCCTCGGACTGTGCGTGGCGGACCCCCCTCACAACACAGCGGGGCTTTTACCCTTCTCGGCTACCCGCCGGGACTTAGGAGCCGCCTGCGGCTCCGCTCCGGGCGGCAGTGGCGGCGGCGCCGTGAGACGGGGCGAGGAAGGGACAGCGGACACGCAGCGGGGACGGGACTCGGCTGGAAGCCCGAGCTGGTGCTGGCTGGCGGTGGGGCAAAAGCAGTTCCTGAAATAAGTTGCTACCTCCCTATCTGTGCTAACGCTGTTGGAAGACAGCTAACTTTGTTTAAGCGAGAGTTTTCCCCTTGTTTTCCCTCTGGTCTACCCAGCACAGACCTTCTCAGGGGAAGAGGCAGCGGAGGTTTTTGTTGAGGTGGTTTTGGAGGAGCTGTTTTGATTGGCCTCATTGTTCCTTTTTATTTATGTTTTACCTGTTGCAGTGCAAGAGTGACACACTGTGGAGGGTTTTTTCTTTGATGCTTTTATATATTATTGGAATGTGCCACTGTTTGTTTTTTTTTTTTTTTAACATGTACATTTCATGCCTTTTAGTTGCCTCTTCATAGATTTCTCTTGGTAGATGGGATTGGGCAGTCCCAAACACAGATACAGGTTGGGCAGAGAATGGGTTGAGAGTAGCCCTGAGGAGAAAGACTTGGGGGGTGTTGGTGGATGAGAAGCTTAACGTGAGCTGGCAATGCACGCTTTCAGCCTAGCATTCTGGGCTGCATCGAAAGAAGTGTGGCCAGCAGGTTGAGGGAGATAATGTTTTTCCTTCTACTCTGCTGTGGTAAGAGCCCACCTGGAGTCCTCCATCTAGTTCTGGAGTCCTCAGCACAGGAAAGACATGGACCTGTTGGAACGGGTCCAGAGGAGGGCCACAAAGATGATCAGAGGGCTGGAGCACCTCTCCTATGAAGACAGGCTGAGAGAGTTGGGGTTGTTCCCCAGAAAGGGGAACAAGGGGAACAGAAGAAAAGGCTCCAGGGAGACCTTATAGCAGCCTTCCAGTACCTAAAGGGGGCCTACAGGAGAGATGGGGAGGGAGTGTAGCGATAGGATGAGGGGTAATGGTTTTGAACTGAAAGAGGGGAGATCTAGATTAGATATTAGGAAGAAATTCTTGACTGTGAGGGTGGTGAGACACTGGAACAGGTTGCCTGGGGGGGTTGTGGATGCCCCATCCCTGGAGGTGTTCAAAACCAGGTTGGATGGGGCTTTGAGCAACCTGATGTAGTGGGAGGTGTCCCTGCTCATGGCAGGGGGGTTGGAACTTGATGGTCTTTAAGGTCCGTTCCAACCCAAACCATTCTATGGTTGAGGCTTTTCGTCCTCTGGCTGTTGTACACAGAGGAATTCAATAAAACCAAAAAGAAGTATTGTTGTTAGAGACAGCCAGTGTAGCCCAGTTAGAAATTTACCATTTTTGTATATGGCCAGTTGTTTTTACACTTGTTACAATTTACAGGATTTTTCAGTGGTAAAATATTTACACTAAAGCTTTTACAGGTATAATTTATTTTTCAATCCAACAGCTTAAGATATTTACAGTTGGAAGTAATGAAGCTAGGGTGTTGCAGGCTTTGTGTGGACATCTGAAATGTCTTTTGTGAATTTTTGTCTCTAGTTTCTGTTTTGATAGAGTTAGAATTGCAGTTAGGCTGTCCAGATTTTGGCAACATAAATAACATATCTACATAACAGGTTTCCTCTACATTACTAGCCTGTGATTTGAGCTTGACTTCAGATGGTAAACAAGCTGTTTATAATTTGAGTTCAGATTTTTTTTCTTTTTCCTGTGCACTAGTGTTCTCATGAAACACCGAGACATGGATAATAGGTTTTCCTCTCGTCAGCTTTGTGCATAAGTATTTCTGAAAGATCTTCCTCTGATGTTTTTCTGTCAGTTATTAAGTGATAGCCAGGCTTTTACAATTTTTACCTAACCTTCCCTTCTTCCAGTGACAAAATCTGCTCTGTTGAATTTCCTCAAACTGTAGAAAGTTGACAAGGAGATGCAGACTGGAGTAATTTGTTGTAGTTATTTTCTTAGTCGTCTGCTGTTTGAAGTTACTGCGCTCCTAGCTGCACTCCTAGCTCAGTTTAAATGTGCATGAGTCTGTGTCTCAACTTAGAGGTGTAACTTACAGAATTGTGCTTGTAGATGAGTGAACTCTCAGTAGAGCATCACCATGGAAATTACTCCTTCAAATAAGGAAGTAATGAACTGCAGTAGTAGTTATCCTCCAACATATTGCAGTTGCCACTGCTTGGTGCCTCTGAGGTGAAGCTAGATATTTGTATATTGAGGTGCTGTAAATCTAGTTTTGGGGCAGTTGATGGGAATGAATGGTTGTGGTGTCCCCTGCTGACTGTCTGACCGCACTGTCAATGGGGTAGGCTCCTCTGTGGTCACTACACTCTTACTATGCTCCACATTTGTAGCTTTATCTTAGAAAAAAAATTAAAATATTCTATATACACACACATGCCCCTTTAAAAAAAATCAGTAAGTTGACTTCAAGCATGTGGAACAAGGTATTTTCCGCAAAGCATCATTCATGAAAGATAGTCTTGTCAGTTTTTCATTTACTGTCTTTTTGATCCCAGCTGAATATAGGACACTGAATAGGGTGACTGAAATCAGTTATCTATCAAGAAATCTTTTCTCAATTGCTTGATGAGAAGGATTATAAGTACAGCTGGGTTTTGTGTTGTTTTGTTTTAATATTATTACATGAATTTGTACACTATGGGAAGGAGATCAAACCTGGTGTTTTGGTTGGGTGGTTGGGGTTTTTTTCATTTTGTTTTGGTTTTTTTTTTTTTTTTTTTCTTAGTTGAGATAATAAGGTACTGTTTCTGACCCTGACTGCTGTAACAGCTCTGCTATTTTATAATGAGTAGTGTATAGTCAGGGAAAGACCAAAACAAGTTAAAGAAAACTAAAAACAAACCACACATCTGTCAAGCCTGATGGTATGTAGCCTCATATAGGGGTATCTTTTCTACATATATGAAAATGGGAAGGAAACCAGAAGGAATGATTCTTGTAAAAACAGTTTATAAAGGATAAAAAGTGATTGATTTGAAACTTTAAAGTTTGTTATCCCACAACTACATAAATGGTAGGTCCCAAGCAGATCTAAGAATTGCTAAATCCTGAGTTTTGAGACATGATGTGGTACTTTGACTCTGATGTTGTTGATAGTGATTGTGCAAATTACTGTGGCTTTTCTGTTTTCCTGTCTGCAATGCTAATGATAATACTTAATTGAGTATATGATGGTTATAATTTATAAATTTATAAAATGCTTTGAACATCCAACCTACTGCAAAATTTCCAGTTAATGTATTATTGCAATATCTAATTAGTTTATGTAACATAAACAAAGTAAAACACTGTTTTTCTGAGCAGGTTCATGAATTATGCTCAAAATAGATTCATTTCAATTCGGTTAATGTTGAGGAATTTATTTTCTGTTACTGTAGAAGTATACTTAATTTCATGAGTGCTAGCATCCAAAACAACAATATTTAATACATAGGGACTATGAGGAAGAAGGAAGGAAGGAATGGTTAACATATACGTAGGAAAGACTGTCAAAAAAACTTCCATAATAAAAAAGAAGACTGTACTGCAGACTTCAGAAAGAGATTTATTCATTATATTGACTGATGTGTTTGGAAAGTGGCACAGAAAAATTTACATGCCTTAAGGCATGGAAAACATGCATTATTAACTTTGTTTTAAAAGGCTCTTTAACTTCATTGTTGCCAGGTGGGATGAGAAAAGATATGTGTCCTGCACTGCAAATGGCCTCCTGTTCGACATAATCTGGAATCAGCTTTGGTGGATGAAGAAGGTTGATGACTTTAAGGTTTGTACTAAAAAGCTGATTTTATGCTTGCATTCCATAATGAAAAAGGACTGTGTGAAACTCAGAAGTCCTTGTGTTTGGGCACCCTAAGCATGTAACTGCATCTTGCTGCAGTCAAATTTTAATTAAAAATTGTGGGACTTGATATTGGCTTGCAGGTCTTTTGAGCAATAAGCATTACTTTTCCAGCCTGGATAATTATTTTGTGTGACCTAGGTCTTGTATCATCTTTATTGTAAAGGCAACTGAGGAAATTCAGTAATTAAATGAATTTGACAAGGTTATTGCTTAATAACCTAACAGAGTCTAAGCTGTATTTGTAAGTATAGTATTTAATTTCATTAATTTGATCAGAAATTAGCTCCTTTTATCAAAGCCACTATGCATTGCTAAATATAATACTAGGGTGTTGTGTTTTAACCCCAGCCAGCAACTAGATACTTGGAGCTGCTCACCACCCCCCCACAGTGCCCCAAAGGGTTTGGGGAAAGAGTGAAAACCCTCCTGGGTTGAAATAAAGACAGTTTAATAGAAACAATAACAGAAAAGGAAAAATAACAATAATAATGATGACACGGGTCACTCTCACCACTTGATGATTTGGCACCATCCTGCACAGTGGATAGCGGATTCCCACCCCGCAGCTGACCACCTGTTTAGATACTGAGCCTAAAGTCTATGGTATGGAATATTTCATTGGCCATTCTATTGTTCTGTCTGTACTTATATGACAAGCTGAAAGAAGTCCTTGAATAGCGTAAATATCACTTAGCAACAACTAAAACCTATAGGTATTATTGACATAGCTTTCTTTCTAGTGATTGCTGTGAAAGGAAACTTCTTCCCAGCTGAAACCAGGACTTGGGGGAAACCTAGTAAAGCAGAAATTTATTTTTACAATGCAGCTTCAGCTATAGATCAAGACTTGACTTAGATGAAACAATATAGTGCGTCTGAACAGCTTGGAGCTTGGACAGAAGGATCAGCTTGAGGATGGGTTTTACTGTGGGTTTTCTGTGTTATTGTTTATTCTTAGGTTTTTTATTTTTTATTTACAGATGTTTGACAGAATCAAACCATCTGATGAAGCTTCTGCTTCTTCAGCACAAGGTGAGAAATTTAAAGTAGCTGTTTTTGTTGCAGTTATTCTTTTTTTAATGTAATAATTAACAATAGAAGCATTAGTTCATCTTGTAGTTTCAATCATGTACTTTGATTTCCTATATTTCATTATGGAACTCAGATGGAAGAAGTGACTTCTGAATCATCCACAGAGTTTCCATTTAGATGTAATTTCCTTGTCCTGTAATGAGCTGTTTAAGACGTTCTACATTGCTGCATTTTATCTCAGTGGTCACGATGTAGCAGTATAAATGTAGATTGCATAGTCTTGATTCCAGACAAATCAGCAGAGAAATTCCCTCTCAACCATGAAAGAGAAAAGCTTATGTTATTAAGCTCTTAGAGGAACTTTGAGGACAAAAGGATCCCTCTCTACATGCTTTCTTGAACTTACTAAACTTTTTATCTCCCTTTAAAATAATAGTTTTGACAAATGCAATGTGAGAGAAGTAACTACTTGCAGGTAAAACTCTGTTTCATCTCTTTGATATTGTGTTTTGTTTTGCTTTTTCCATAGGACTTGAAAGACATGGTGTTGAAGATGCTCTACAACAGGACAGCAATAGCAGGTAAGTGATGATTTAACTGGCATCTAGCTTACTGCTTACGCAAAGTAAGACAGGAAGAATCTGTTTTTCAGCCTTACCTGTTATCTTGTGTAACGGATGACAGTGATGCAATATAGACTAAGTGTGTAATGGAGGTGCTTTTTAACTTCTACCCACATGGGATTCAAAAATGGGGGGATGGCACCTTGTAGTGCCCAAAACTAATATGTGGGTTTCAAGATTTCTTTGTCTTTGATCTTTTTTTTTTCTTTTTTTTTTTTTTTAAATTTCAAAATACTAAAAAGATGACTGTCTTTTTCTGGAGAGACAGTTCTCTTCAGATTTCAGCCAACTGAAATTAGCATTTGTGATTGCTGTGCCTTCAACCTGTTATCCTTTGTTCTGCATTTAAGAAAAATTTTCTTGAATGAAAATTGCTTGGGATTACCTTAAAATGGGTAGTCCTACTTGCCATTACAGTTCTGAAATAGAAACTTTTATCTTGCAAGTTTGTTCCAGCGCTGTAGTAAGATGGATGTTTAGAATTTCCGTATTAAGAACATGAATTAAACAACACAACATTTCTCATTTTCTTACTGAAATGTCTTGGTAATATTCTTTCAGTTTACACACAAGAAGGCAAGAACATCCTCAGCCTGGAGTATCCACTGTGCAAAGTAGACAAGGATACTGCAACTGTTGCCATGTACACTACAGTAATCTGGAACAGGTGAGAAGGCTTCTGTGTAATTCAGCAACAGATAGCAGGGACTACCCAAAGGTTTTATCAGCTTACAAAATACCACTCTCTACGCTGAAGAACCAGTACTGAATGAAAAATAATCAATTTGTGAGTTGCACAATGTACGCCCTGAGAAGAAGATACCTTTCTTATCTGTTACTTGTTAAAAAGATGCTAGTAGAGTGGCATAGCTACTGCAATCTGCTTTTCTGAAGTGGGATGCTGCTGTGCATTGCATTCATTGCGTTTATTTCTGTGGCTTCAATCTTGAGATCTGTATATATTGTAAAATATTAGGGATAATGTGCTTGATATCAAGGCTGAAGACATTTGATCAACTCTTTTCTGTTCTTTAACTCTCTTCTTCAGTCTTCTGTTTTTTAGACTTTTTAAATTAGAAAGTCTAAATCTATTTAATCTTCTGTCCTTATTTAATTTCTCCTTAATTTGAGAGAATTAAAGGATGTTTATTCATATAAAGTTCAAAAATATTTTAATAGTCATTCATAGATTATTTAGAGTATTTGTACTAGTTACAAGAGGTTTGTGAGCAGCTGGCAGAGCTGCTAAATCAGGTTCCAGCTCAGAAGGATGTTTCAATACATTTTGGTATTATTTGAGACATGCTTAAAAATCTCATTGAATCAAAGCCTTAATGTAGAAAAAGCTGAAGATTTTTCTTTTGATTTAAACATTTTTATAGCAACAGTGTAATGTTTAATCTGGGAAGTAATTTTTAGGAACAGGCCGGTGTGTTAACAGTAGTATTACACTAGTCATTTGTTTTATCTTTCACCAGCATGTTTTCAGCTCCCAGCACAGACATTTTACCACTTACTGTAGGAATCGTATGGGTACCAGTAGCTTGATGGAGCGTTTCCTGCAAGATGTTTTGCAGCATCATCCCCACAGATACCATGACAACAGGTATAATACAGCTGTCTTTTTTCTTTTTTTTAAATATGTGTTGGTAGAATGCATGTATTATCAGTTCTTATTTCTGTTCGACTGCTGAGCAGTAAATTTTCTCTGTTGGAGGGAAACTTTCACTTTGAAGACAATTTAGAAAGGAGTGTATTTATATAAACACTGTCCAAGTATATTGCTTTTGTGTTGTCTGTGTGCTTTTAAACTTTGTTTTGCTACTTAAGGATTTGATACAACAGTATTGATAGCAATTAAATGTGAAGACCTGAAAAAAGGAGGAGTACATGGGTCAGTGGGTATAATGGCAGACTGTACACTCTGACATGCATTTACAAATTCTTATAATTTGACCCTTATTTATATTTATATATAAAAATTCTTAATTCTGGGCTTTATATATATTTAGCAGTGTATTTTGTGGTATTTTTTTGAAAGAGTTCATAATTTTGGTTTATTGTTTTTGGATAATGTCATGTGAATATTTATATGTTTGTTTTTCATTATCCTTGGAGTACACACATTCAGTTAATGCTTGCATGAATTACTTGAATTGGCCAAGTCATTAATGTTCAAGCTTTGAAAAGTGTTCTGTTTAATTATCTTGTGCATGTTTAGGTATGGTAAGAGGGTCAGTGTGTAAGTTTTTCTCTGTAGACGAAGGGAAATCTATTCATAGAGTTATGGAATGGTTAAAATTAAATCTCAGTTAAATCTCATTCCTCATTTGTTATGTTCTGCAAGGCACACAAAAATCCTGCTCTGAAACCAGTACAGTATCATGATATGCAACTCTGCTGTAGCTATAACAAACAAGCAGAAGGGTATTTTGTGGTATTTTGTGTGAAGGCAGTCATATTGATATTATCAGGATGTGACAGAAAAAATTAATAGACATTTCTATGACAAATGGGACAAGGACACATACATATCACTACAAATACATAAATTAATCCTTCCATTTTAAATAATTTTAATCCTTCTAGCTTAAGAATGTCCACATTTTTTTGCCGTGAAGAAAATGCAGGACTCGCTTTAAGGCAACACCCAAATGAAAAAAAGCCCTCTCTTGAGGTGTTGCTAATACAAGATTATTTGGCGAACAAAACCTACTAATTAGATAAAACAAGCCACTCACATTCCTTTAAGATGCTGGAAGAAGGAATGGAATGAGAAAAATAATGTACAAAGTCTGGGTGAATTTGGAAGGAGGAGGAAGAATAATCCCAAATCTACATAGAGTTTGGAGAAAGAAAAGCAAGTGTGAATAGGTTTATGTTGCAATCCTTTTCTGAAAAATGACTGAAAAAAAAGTCACTGTGTGAGTTGACACAGGGAGGATGCAGGAACAACCACAAAACCACGGACGAAATGCAAAGAGTAAATTTATTTTAGTTACCTTGCAAACAGGAGGATCTCCAAAGCAGCACCCAGGCAGAGGCACACAAACAGGAACACAGACTCCACAGAGCTCAGTCCTTGCTAGAGAGTTGCCAAACCTGCTGTTTTCGCCTGGATATCAGGGATTCAGGCAGGTGTAGTTTACCACTCTGCTTTAATCTTTCCCATAGCATGGCAGGAATCTCAAGCATGTTTGATAGGGTGCCTCTGAGTCTATCACAGGCCTGTGTTATCTAAACACAGACACAAACAGGAACACAGACTCCACAGAGCTCAGTCCTTGCTAGAGAGTTGCCAAACCTGCTGTTTTCGCCTGGATATCAGGGATTCAGGCAGGTGTAGTTTACCACTCTGCTTTAATCTTTCCCATAGCATGGCAGGAATCTCAAGCATGTTTGATAGGGTGCCTCTGAGTCTATCACAGGCCTGTGTTATCTAAACACAGATGTTCTACTTGTCAAGTGCACAGGACTAAACAATTAGTATGATATTTGTGGTTTTTGACACCAGCTGCAAGTCACTTGAGCATGTTTGCAATCTTCCTCACCAATTTTCTGTTATTTTCCCACATTCTACCCCCTTGCTCAAGGGACCACTTCTGCTGGTGCTGGCAAAGCTGGACATGTCCATTTGGGCTTGAGGGGTGTAGGGCAGGGTAATTCATAAAGGTACGTAGTAAACACATATAGAAAAAAGAATAAACATATCTCTACAATAACACTTTGAATGAAGTGTCCTATTCATCCTGTCAGGGAATTAAACCACTCAGCCAGCCAGGAACCGTCAGTAGATTGTTTCATTTGATGCATTAAGTCCTAAAGATGTTGAATGTCATCCTCTACACTGGCTGATTCATCAGTTACGTTGAATCAATGCATGCCTTCAAAACCGAAGCAGCAGCGTTTATGGTGTTGAAGGAGGAAAAAATAGCAATGAGAAACATTAATATCAAAATCACTTAGCATAATATAATCCTGTAATTCAGCTGCTGGGGTTGGCACACCAATGGAACGCATTGTCAAAAGATCTGCAGCAGTTAATCTTCCCTTAATATAAAAGGTAGATGAGTTATAGTAGAGGCTAACCAAATCTAGGTACTTACATGTTAATCTTGCAGAAAAGTATCCAGAGTATGTACTTGTAGTACAGGGCTACCTGTGATAGGGAAGGAAAACAGGAATGTCATCTCCTTCCAGTAACACGCTGTTGCTCAAGCTCCTTCAGCTAATATTGCTCTGGGTTTGATAACCTGATATGGGGTAAGTGCCCAAACAGATTGGAGAACTATGGCTTGTGCTTTTTCTGATTGAACTTCAATTCAATGTTTGCGACACCAGTAATACCATTCCAATGCTATCTCCTCTAGATAAGGCACAGGTATTCATCAAAGATACCTGCAATACAAGAACTTGAGAATCCTATATCAACAAAGGATGTCAAATAAGAGGAGGAGTTGGAGTACAAAACCATAAAGAATTCTCAGGGGTTGTTATATGAATCTTCACTTCTAGACTAATAGGTTGAGGTCCCACCACGCAATCCAACAGTGTGAACAATTCCATTTCCCCCGTAGTTAATATTTTGGGAGAGATACCATCTGGAAGAATTTCAGTCCTCACTATATTTTGTACTGGAGGTGTTACAATATGATCATAGGGTGTTTGATTACAAATATTCCAACTGTTTAACAAAAACAATTGCTTTAGTAAGATGTGAATGCCAATGTTGTCAAGTTTTAGTAGTTTTTTCAGTTAGTTAGTTTTTTCAGTTGTTCCTTCAGCATCCCGTTCATTCTTTCAATCAAGCCATTAGCTTGGAGATGGTAGGCAGTATGGAATATCCAATCTATCCCTAGGCCTTGAGCCAAATCCTGGACGTATTTCCACTGAAGTGTGTCGTTGGTCACTTTGTATTTGGTTAGGAATCCCATATTGATGAATGAGTTGTTCTAGTGCTTCAGTTTTGTTACGTTGTTTAGCATATTTTGTGGGTTTAGCAAAAAAAGTCCTGACACTCTCTCCACAGCAGTGAATACCTATTGCCCCCCCTCAACAGAGGTAAGGGGCCCATATAATCAACCTGCCAGGTATTCAAACCCCATTGGCAGTGTTTTGTCTTTTCCCATGGAAATATATGTAATGTTCTTAAATGTGGCTGCATACAAGTAGTACAATTATGTGCACATTTTATAAACATGTAATGGCAAAGGGGTTTGATTGTGAGCAATGTTGCATGCATGTGCAGTATAGGATGTCCACAAGCTATACGTGCGTACGTAGCTTTAGCATGTACTTCAGCAAAGTCATACTATCTAGTGCACTGTTATTTTGTCTCTCGAGTGAATTAGTTTTTGATGAGCTGAGATGTGCCTTACTTTTAAAGGATATCTTTGTACATATTGCCAAAGTTGTTGCCATAGATACCCTATATGGGGGGGTAGATATTTGTATATGCCAATCTTCTTGGGCCCAGCGGGGTGACCACATTGTGAGACTTGCGTACACAACCCAACTGTCAGTATATAAATAATGTGCCTTCCCTTCGGGGTAGCAAGAGATGCTGCAATCAATTCAGCCCATTGACTAGATGTCTGTACACCTACTTGGCATAACATAATTCCTGGTAGTGGAGCATATGCAACTGCTCTCCACTGTCATTGTCCAGTCGCTGTACATGTTGCACTTCCCTCGGTAAACCAGGGATCTTTTTTGTGCTCTTTTATTAACTCGTCATAAGGGGGAGCCTTGTTCACAGGAGATGTAGGGATATCTCCAAAGGGAAGAGTTTCCCCCTAGTGTGGGTATATGATTAAGTGATACAGTTCCTAGAAGAGTGGCATGTGGAGTGGTTACATGTGGTTTTCCTGGTAGAAATAGTTGCTGTAAATAATGTTTCCTTTTCCAATGTGTGTCTGCCTGAACTACCCCTGCATGGGCCCTAATGGAATCACCAGTAACCTACCCATGAATGTGTATGGGTATGTGTACAGTCACACTGTCCTGGCCTGTGATTCTTTCAGTTTCTTGTAGTGCCCAAACTACAGCTAACATTTGTTTTTCCATCTGGGTAAAATGTGTAGCGCAGCCTTGTAATGCCTTGGATCAAAATCCTACAGGTCCTTTCTGATTTTTCAGCCCAGTCATCTGCTGCAACCCCCACAAGACTATATTTTGTCTCAATAAGACTATATCTTGTCTAGACAAATCTTGCCTAGATTTGTTACTTCTAATTCTAAAGGATATACTCACCTAGGAGTGTATAATTGTGCATGCTCAATCAAAACATTTTTGCAGGCATCAAAGGCTTCTTGTTGCTTGGTCCACTGCTAAACAACTTTCTTGTTAATTTCTGCAGAGGGCACATTAATATCACCAGATGTGGCATAAAAGTTCTCCAATAAAATAAAATTTATTCACAATACTTCTGTTAGCAGATGAATGCACCGTAAGAGATGCATGGCTGTCTGCCATGTATTAAAGTAAGCATCCCTTTGGGTCTTGCAAGGTCTGGTTATAACTTTCAATTGAAACATGACATTCTCTCTTTAATTTTTTTAAAAATTATTTTCATTGGATTTGCCCAGCTGTTGCACATTGAAGCCTTGTGGTTTCCTGTGTTGCATATGAGAAATAACCTGTACCTGTTCTGTTAATTCTGCAAAACATAAACATGGTATTTGAGGCAGTGCTAAAGACAGAACTGCCAGTTGCAGAATATATAAAAATCTGCTGCTGTCACAGTGTGGCTGAACAGTCATAACTTGACTTCTTATAGAAGTAAGTCAGAAGTTGTAGTATGTCTGTGAGAAATGGTAAGTATGGAATTCCTTGGCAACATGTGCAGAGTTCCTATCAAGCAGCCATGCTTTATAGGGAAAGGAGCATTTATACTCAATACTATTTTTATACTGTGCCATACTGTAATGTTCCATTTCTCTACAAAAGCTCAGTATCAATTAGGGATAGTTTTACCAGTGAAATAACCTCTTAAGCTCACAACTTCAAAAAAGGAAATATTTTTACTTTTTCTTGCTTTGCTGTATTTATAAAATGATTGTAATGTATATTTGACCATTCTTAATAGATGGTTGCATGAGGAGGGTAACTGACTAATGCCTGAATTGTTATCTTTAGCGTGGTGGAGAGGAGGCGGGAACACTCCACAATTTTTTAAAATGAAATATCTCTATAAAAAAGTAGCAGAGATGGTAACTTGAGTTTGTTCATTAAGTGTGATGCATTCTAGGTAATTACTCTTTTTTTTTTTTTCTAAAAAATACTATTGTTTGAAAAATCTTAAGCATATTTACAGTATCTATACAAGTTGGTTTCTTCCCCTCCCCTTTAGACCAAGCTATGATGACATGCCACTCCCCGTCACTCCAGAGGCTGCTAGGATTCCTTGCCTGTCCCCAGGAGAGTTGGAGAAAAAGAGGAACCAAGAAAGACAGGAGATTTCCAGCAAAGACCTGGAGCCCACTGGTGAAATAAGCTCTTCTGCTTCATGCCTGTCTCGTGAGACCACAAAGAAAACTTCCGTAACACAAACATTTATTCAGAAAGTAGAAAGACGGCAGGAACATGTTACAAGAATATCCCAGCAGTCTATGGGCAGTTGTAGCAATGAGAAATGGGATACCCTGAAAGATGCTCCAATTGCAAATCATAGCTATGAAGGCCAGTTTACAGCTGTGAGCACTATACCTCAGCGTTTTTATGTCAGTTCTTTAATCCATAATTCTTCTGGTAATCCTAAAACAGGAAAAAATGATACGAGTTTGGCAGCATCAAATCTGATTCCACATAGTGGATGTGATAAAACAGGAGTGGAGGTATGCAATAGTGATGTGTTATTGAATACATGCTTGAATCCTGCTCCGACACTGGTTCACCCAAAATGCCCTTCAGTTTCTCATCCTATGTGCAGCCACAGCAATTCTTTACATATTACCTCAGGTCAATCTCTCTCAAAACGAGATGGTTTACGAACTCAGGATGAAACTTTGGCGTCTGATGTCCATCTCAGGGATACTGTGGGTATCAGCAGCGTCCTAGATCTTGGGACTTCCCCACAACTAGCAAGATGCAAAAACGTGAAGACGAACAGAGGTGATGAAAGCTCAGTGGATGACACTATTGAAGATGTTATTTTGAAATACTGCCATGGAACTACATCTGAAGAAATTTATTTCAAAGAGGAGAATAATCCCTGTTTAACTTTTTCATCGCTTCTGGATGATACTCATTTAGAGGGTTCTGAAATGAGTTTTGACTGTGATGCACCTCTTCAGGCAGGAACAGATTTACCTAAGGCAGCTATAAAAGGTATAGAATTCCTAAAAGAGGTCCAGATAAGTTTGCAAGATAAAGACTATGGAACGCAGCTCTCTTCTGTTTTAAAAAGTGAGTCAATAGAGAAAGTAGAAGCAGTAAAACAGGATGTTGTAGTTCCTACTGAAGAACCAGTTCTTCCAGCTCTGCCACATGTGCCTCCTTCTTTTGTGGGAAAGACTTGGTCTCAAATAATGTATGAAGATGATATAAAAATTGAAGAACTTGTGCGTGATTTCAGGGAAGGTCGTTTTCGCTGCTACTTTGACAGTGAATCCTCAGCCAACTGTACAGGGAAGAGAATGAAGAAAAAAAAGCAGAAGGATGATAAAAAGAACAATATTATCGAGGGTAATAGAAGAGAAAGTGCATCAGTTAAAGCGTTGCCAGAATTTAATAATGCTTTAAGTGGTGGCTTTGATTTTGATAACCCATCTTTAGCTTCAGATACACTATGCAACCCACACACTCTTAAAATGCCTAGGAAAAGGACATGGCGCCTGGCTTCAAGGTGCCAAGTGGTTAAAGTCAGCCATGGAACCCAAACAAGTCTGTTGAACTACCCTGTAGCAAAAAGAAAAATATCTAGAAGGGAATCTGATCCAGCTGATCAGAAAGCAAGCATTGTGTGGCCAGAGAATGAAAAAACTCCAAACATGAAAACTAGACTATGTGCCCTTAAACTGCCTGAGTCCTACAGCAAGATTATGAGTCCCGTACAGCCCAAGACAGTGGTATATGTTCTTTCGTGCCCAGAGATTAAACAATGTAAAGGTAAACCTATAGATACTCCCAAAATGAGGAAAAATCGTAACTCCACAGATAGCAAGGACTTTGTAAGGTATAAATACAAACAGTGTTCTTTTAAGTATTATGACCCACTGACAAATCGAATTCTGAAAACGCCTCCAAAGAGTACAGTTGGAGAAAAGGCCAAAAAGCCCTCCCACGTTCGACAGCTTTTCAGAAGTCTCAGCTTTGATGCAAATATGAGGAAACTAGCTGATGCACAGAGAGAAAGCACACTGTCAAAGTCATTTAATTGGTCAGACTTCTGTAGTTCGTCTTCAGCATCTTTCCTGCCAGATCCAGGTAAAGGGAACGATACAGCTTCAAGTCAAAAGGCAGATGGATCTTCTGTTTCCACAGAAAGAACAGATTGTCTGGGATCTGGCCACTCAGAGAACTCTTTGAAACATCTGATCATTTCACCTTTGAACTCTCACCAGTCTGTGGTAGAAGGAGATAGTAAATTAACTCCATTTAACAGTAGAGGTAACAAAACTCCTCTGACCTCCATCAGGAGTAGTGAGCGGTTAGAGAGAGAGAATCCAAAGGCAATGTGGAAGAGAAAAGAAGGCACTAATAAAGAACCAGTTTTTTCCAGAAAGGCTGCAGGATCTATGTCTGTCAGATGTACTGTTGGGAGGAGAGGAAACAGAGTAACCACATGCAAGCAAACTTCCAGAACTAAAAAACAGCAAAAAGAGGGGATGAGAAGGAAACTTCATCCTCATGCCCAGAAAGCTTCTGCTTTCTCCATCCATAGGTGCCAGACAAGGAAAAATACAGTGGGAAAGCACCTTAAGAAAGAAAAGCCTGATGCTAAAAAATTAAAGGTGAGGAGGAAACCAAAAAGGACCTTTCTGAGCTCAACAGTTGTCACAGAGATTCCTAAAAAGAGGCAGAAAGTCACATCGGAATCTTTTCCCAAGAAGCCAGAGCGAACTTCTTCCAAAGTCGGTAACTGGGAAGTAAGTGGAGATCGGGGTCACCCTAGTGCTGTGAACCGACCCTCTAGAAAAACTGCTGGTGTACCTTTACTTCGAAACTGCCTCATTCTACCAGGTGAGAGCTAGCTACCAAAAGAACTTTTGTTTTTATAGCCAGCACCTGGAAAAAGATTGAGGAAAAGGAAAGGGAACAAAAAGTCATAGACAAAGCAGTTGAAGTGCTAGAGCTGCAGAAAGTGCAAAGCCAGTCTAATGTGAAACAAATACAACTGTAAACTCAGCTCTTGTTCCTGGAATATGGGAACATAGTGTATTGCACTGTTCTATTGGTAAGCTGCAGAAGTTGTGCATTTGAGTTAAAAAGCACTTAGAATCCTAGTTACTAGACTTCACCTGTACATTAGAAAAATGAGCTTGAATAGTATCATATTGTTTTTATGGTATTATCAGTGCGTAATAGTGCACTATAATAAGGTAAATTAGAAGCTGTATTAATTAATTGTGCCTATTCTTATTTTTCCACATAACTCTAAAGTGCAAAAAAAGACTCGATTGTTGTGCTAGAAATTAAATGAAGATATATTAATCTGGGCTGAATTCTGTCTATGTATTTTGTGTTTGTGTATATGCACACCTTCAGCACATAATACATGCCTATGGAGTGGCATTAAAATTAATACAGTATGATACAATTCAGATCAATTCAGTCTTTTCTTGAAATGAAATATAATTGTACATGTTTTTATATTGACTTTTTTTTTTCCTGAAACCACGTCCAAAGTAGTCATTTTGGACAAAAAGTCACTGTGGGCTATCTTCAAGCAATAATGGACCATGCTGGTAAGGAAATTTGTCTCTCTAGGGCACTGTTCAAATGGTGGTGGCTAAAGTGAAATATCAAGTTCCAAAGCAAATATAGGCTTAGGGTTTGGGTTGGTTTTTATTGTTTGTTTGTTTGTTTTTTAAATAGCTTATTGATTACATCTGTCGGACAATTTCACATTCCTTAGTGGGTGGATGGAGAAGTTGTAATACAAACAAATAGCAGTGAGTTGTTCTAGAATGTCAACCTTAAATTTGAGTTTCTATGGTTTCTTTTATTTTAATTCAGTATACTGTTGGTTATAGTTTTATGTACTATAGTTGAAATTTTCTTTTTAAACTTTCAGTAAAATATTTAAATAAGCCTAAAGCAACATCGATCTAAATATACTAGAGTTCAAATACCTGTTGAAACAGATATTTATATATCTGTTTAAAATATTTAGTTGAGTTAAAATTATATTCCATAGTGACTCGAGTTTGGCCACTGATGCTCTAAGTACTATTATTTAATGGCAAAAAAGACTTTTTTTAATTATTTGGTTTAATTTTTTCATTTGTGGGTTTTTTGTTTGTTTAATAGTTATATGATGACAGCTTACTTAATCTGTTTAGGAGACATAAGCTTGCAGATGTTTCTAGGCTTTAAAATCCAAGATTACTTGTTTGTTTATGTTAATTTAAGTATATAGTTGAGCATCAGCACAACAGGGACTCTGGATTGTAAATCTGCAATTTGGTTTATTATATAATCTATCTTACTTTAAAGGTCTCTGTAAATTCTATAGTTGTAGCATACATCTTCAGCACACAAAAAAAATATAGAAAAGACCAGACCCTGCTCTTTTTGCCATTGAACATAACATCTGTGCATTTTCACCTGAAAAAACAAAATCTTTCTTGATTCCTTTTCTGAAGTCTCAAGGGTCACTGGATTGGATTGAGATAAAGGTGGACTTTGAAATGTATTATTTTAATATACAGTATCTGAAGGAAATAGAAAAGCTGTCATCATAAACCACTTGTTCAAAAAATATTTTGGGGATTTTTTTTTTAACGTATGTGCATATTTCCCTGGATAAATAAAAGATGTGCATGTACTTAAGCCAGCTGGAAACCAAGTTCCTTTGCAAGTCAAATATGGTCTAACAATGTTTTGATGTTATTTTTAAATTTTTTTTTTTTGAAATAAAAGCTGATTTCTATGGGTGAATTTTCCTACAGTTGTCAGTAGACACAGAATCTTATAGACTGTATTGCAAGTCACTGGAAAATGAAGGGTTATAATATGAGTTCTTATAGCCCTCTTAACTAATTGTGCCTGTATAATTTAATATTTTGTCTAATATAAAACTGATTTTTTTAAAGCAAAGTTTTAAATGAATGGATTTTATAGAAAGGCTAATTTTTAGATAAAGCAAAAGAAGATTTTTAAATAAAGTTTGTTTTAAAGCAAAGCTTTAAATTAACTCTATAGGTCCCATTCTAACATATTTTTATGATACAAGACTGTTTTCCTATCTAACTTCTTCCATCTTATTTTTCACAATATTGTACACATGAAGAGCATGAATTGTTTTGTGTGAATAAGATTTAATGCACATTGTACTTCAAGATCACTAGTGAATATTTGTTTACAGCCAAAAATACGTTCTCTATACTCATTCATTGTAAGCTTATGTTTCTCCAGCACACAATTTTTCCTTGAAACCTTGAGTAATAAAAATATCTTGACTATAGAATGACTAATATTTGTAGCCTGTAATGTCTTTTTGCTGTTGTTGTTTGTAAATAATAGACCCCCTCATCAGGGTGAGATTTTTAAAAGGAAAAATGTATTATATTTAAATAAAAGTGTGAGTAGCTATATATTTTCCTTTTAAAAAAAAAAAGAGGAAAAAAAGAACAAGTATGAAATGTAACAATTTTTTAAAAAATCAGACGGGGTACAAGTCTGGAAACATTTCTGTGGTTGACGGTGTCAAAATAAGATTTACTGTATTCTTGGATGTTATTCTATGCCTCACTTCTGACTGTTTAGAAACCTCTTCTGTGCATGCTCAATGACTACTAGGAAAAAGAGTGGAGATTGTGATAAGAGAAGTAAATGTAAAAACTGCTTTGGAAAAAGAATTGATGAAGATAAGTGCAAAACAAAAAAAAAATGCAGAAACACTCAAAATACCGTATGCATAAAGGAGAAAAGAGAAATTTTCTGGGGTCTTGAGGGATTAGTTAATCACTTTCCTATTAGATAAATAATACAGATTCTGCTGTCGTTAGTGAACAGCATGTTGTTTCATTAGCAGCATGGCTGAAACTTCAAAACATGATTATGATGTCTACAGCAATAGAAAATTTGAGAGCTGAAATACTTTATCCCTGAAATCGATGGGAGGGCTGCTTGGATTCGGATGGGGTGGGATTTTTTTTAATTTGTGTTTTAACATTAGTGGACAAAGATGTTTGTGGGTATGTTTGCATGTCTTAATCTAGAGAGGCAGGAAAAGATAATTGGACTAAGGAGAAATAAAGTCATGCTTTTTGGATCTAATTGGAAGCAGTTAGATGCTTTTTATAATAGTTGAGAAAAATGTTGTCATTTCTTCTATGCATAAGTATTTTGACCTTCTGCAAGTTCATACTTATGTTTTTCACACAGTTCATAGTTTTAAAAAAATCTCTCCCCCCACAAATTATTAATTCAACCTTTTAAAACAATCTCATTCTAAACAGCTTGGTTTTTGTTATTCACTTGTTATTGTGAACCTTGAGTGTGACCCAGACTCATGCTGTGCCAGATACTACCTCAGCAGACTAGCAAATCCCCCAAACTTTACATGTCTGGCACTTGCACCTGGCAGTTTGTCAGTTCCTTTTCTGATAGGCTTTTTTTTCTTTCTAGTTCTTTCTGACATCTTTGCATCCAGTATTCTTGTAATTGTAGTATGAAAGTGCTCCTCTCTGGGACTCAGATAAAATTAGGTATTTAGTTGTATTTATACTGAGACTATGACTTAATCTGAAGTTCTGTTTAAATTTCATGCTAAATTTGTGCCCAAATAAGAATATGTGGTTTTGTGGTTTTGGTGTTCTTGTGATTGATAATGTATTTTACAATACTCTTGCTTGATGCTGTAATTTTTTATCTGCTTGTCTCTCTGCTGTCTGTGGTCATTTGACACAACGTGAGTTTGTAAGAATACAGTGATACTACAAACTTGTCCAGTGCTGTTGCTGGATATTCTTTGTATTTTCAGCTCATTTAATTTCAGATTTATTGCATTCATGTTTTTCCTTAGTCGTGCGTTTCGATTTTTTTTTTATGTTGTGAAGAGCTAAATTACAGGGCAGGATATTCTGTTTGGAAGTAGATCAGTGACAGGTAACAGAAGTGGATGGTGTCCTGCTTTGAAGTGCAGGGGACAAGCTGCTGTGTGTGCTCCTGTGCTTGGGAGTCTGCTTGCTTCACTGAGTGGCATAATGCTTCTTGATTTCTTTAGCTGCCTTCCTTTCACTTTCACCTAGAGTAACTCTGCCTGAGAATGGAGTAATTTGAATTCGTACTTATTCTGGAAATGGAACAGTCTTTCAACTGTTCAGGTCTTGGGAACAGATAAGAAAAGTAAAACGTGTCTCACTTGCTAATGCAATTGAAATCCCAGAATTTTTATCTGCTATGAATTACAGCATTCCTGATAATCTTTTCTAGAAAACTTTGTAGTAGCATAGGTTTGAGCATGCCCAGAAGCAAAGGTTTTGTTCCTTGTTTATGTTTTGCAGTTATGAATTTATTCATTCCTTCAGCAGAACAAGTCTTGTTTTAATAAAATAAAGACTGGATTTGTGGTTTTTGTAGTTTCTTTATTTTTAACATGGAATTTAACTTGAAACTGTTTGCTATAGTTTGTTGTGGAAAGAACACAAAATGGTATGGAAAAAGCTACTACTGTGAAGGAGGCCAGTTGTAATTTAAACAGCTGTTCACAACTGTATGATATCTTGACCCAGTGAAGTCTTCTGTTGACTTCAGTGAAGCCAAGATTCATCACATCTTGTGCCAACTAAAACAATTATGTCCTTGGATGGCATTGAAAAAGCATCGGATTTGTTTTAGATGCCTAATTGCATTTTGGCAGCAGGAAACCAAGAAACACCAACCACATGGCACAAGCCAGATCCCTGCAGAACTTAACTCATGAACTTTTTTTTCAGAATGTGCACTTAATAAGTGAGGGAAGTGGCTGGAAGTATCATAATGTTAAGTAGCTTTCTACTTCATGCAAAATGGATTGGCTTCTCTGTGATCATCGACCAGATGAATCCTGATTACGATCTTAAAATGCATGCAGAACTGTTTTCAAAGCTGTATGCAAAAATACTTTTAAGAGATTTTCTGGTAAATAGAGTACTAGAATACCTTGACTGATAGAAAACCCTGTGTAGAGTACCTTTTTCTTTAAATTTAGTAGTCATTTGCTGTTCGTAAATTTAAACCAGCATGATCTTTTGCAGGAGCAATGCACACAGATGTGTTAGTTTGGATCAATAAATGGCTAAAAGGCATAGGCATATTGTTTCCTGAGGCTTCCATACATCATAAAACTTCAGGACATGCTTTGCAGTTTTAAATCCATACTTGAAGATAGCTGTTATGTATTTTGGAGTTGGCTGAATGAAGTTACTTCTGTGCTGTCAAATAATAATTTATTAAAGGCATACCATTCAACCATCTAAAGCTGGAGCTGCAAACATGGTACTTTGTAAGCAAATTTTGAGTCTGGTAATTGCATCTTTCATGGGAAATACAAGCAATTAATGATATGCTTATAGAGTGTCAAGTACAATGGAGGTCCAGTTCAAGTTGAAATATTTGAGAGAGAAGGTGAATTTAATAGCATGGGTTTAGTTGGCTTTGGAGTCATTAGTGGTTTGATGTACAAAATTACTGTGTTTCTGTGGTCCTGGAAGTTATAATGATTTTCCTGAAGTGCAGAAGTGTTGTTCTTGATGAAATGTGTGAATGCAGATCATTATTTCAGCTTACGTGATGTAATAGTGTCAGTAATTCTAAACCTAGCGTTTTTCTTTATCAGTGTTTTTCCTTAAGGAACACTGAAAAACGGTTCTTCCCAAATACTAGCATTTGTAAAAAGGTTTTTAAATCTCTCACATCCTCAAATAAAAATGTACTTTAGCATACTGAAGCTAGTCAGCTTTTCCTATTTGCTGTGTTGTACTGTGTTAATATTGGTCCTGGTGCAATTAAAAATGTTGGTTACAGCTTACTTAGTCGTTATTAATATTGTACAAGCAAGTTGCAGAATCAAAATACACTCTTGTGAGCTCATGCAGAGAGCTTAGACACTGCTGGTGTGGAGATTGTGCTGCAAGAATTAACAGTGAAGGGGGCAGGCGTAGTCCTCAGGATACATGTGGCTCCCTTGTGGATGCAATGCTCATGCATGACTTGCTTTTTATTACATTAAAGTTTTAAGATGAAGAGCGAGGTAGAAGTGAGGAACAAGACTAACAAAGATGTAGTATAGGTTGGAACTAGACCAATGGACCTTCAGTTTTCATTCTTTTTATAGTATTAATCAGTTTTGTCTGAACCTTTTCTAACAGTTGTCAAAATTCACCTACTTCCTGTGGTGGTTCAGCTCAGATTCCATCGTATCTTCTGGTATGTTAGTTTTATTTGATTAATACATGGATAATATTTCTCTTTATTTCTGCTCATTTTGATCCTTCAGCTGCTGCTAAGAGGGGAGGAATTATTATAACAAAGATTATGCACTTGCTTCTTTTTAAAGGCTAAGGAGAAAAATTATAGGGCATTATGTGGCTACCAGCAGAATTCTCCAAACACTGAAAGGAGATCTATTAAAATTCTGATCTAATGATGACTAATCAATCAATTGCCCAAATGATGACGGAAACACTTTTCTTTTTAATGGCATTAGACTCACTCTTCACACAATTAAAAATAAATATACTGACTTTTTGGTAGCATATTTTGTGGATTTCCAAATGTGTTTAATGCTTTAATTTTTCAGTCTGTTCTAGCAAATAGTAATTTCCTGAGTTATTGCCAACACACTGTAGTTTTGATTGAATCCAGGGTCAGGATAATGTTGGAGACAGCATATTTTCACCTTCCACAATTAGTTAATGTTCATACAGCACTTTCTGTGGATGTAAAGAACTCTTAAGTATTCAATATTATCAAGAATTCTCTTCTATATTCATCTTATTTTAGATGTCAGTGTTCAATGGTTTTTGTGAAATGCATTGGTAAGCACGATATTTTTTTCTTTTTAGAGCTTAAAAGGCAACAAATAATGAAATTGTACTTTACGTGTTATTATTTCCAGCTTTACAGAGACTTTTCATTTTTTCTGTGCTTAGCAAATTTATTTTTTTCTCCCTCACACCTCTCCATTTTAAAATAAGAATTCATCTGCAATGCAGAGTTCTCCATCTTTGTTTTCTCAGAGTAGGGTGTGATGAGTGTCATTTGTCTGTATCATTAATAGAGTTTTATGTAATTATGTTGTTATTGCTTATGCCTTCATAAACATCTCTTCCTTTTCATGGAAGCTGTGAAGGGGAGCCAAGCATCCACATCTGTCTGTCTCTAGTCCTTGGTCTTGTTTTATTGCTTACCATGTCCTTTTCAAGATCCCTATGGCAGCCAGTGTATCAGCTCCTCTATTTCCCTTTATCTCATTTAGCTCTAGAGTATGTCAGAAAACAAATTTTTGCTGACCTATGCTGCCATGGTTTTCTCCAAAGCAGGCCAGTGGCGTTGTGGAAAAACCCAGGCTGCATTAAGTGGGATTTTTGTATTTTATCACTTTCTCTCCTTTCTTAAGCATTAATGATGCCTACTCTGTAAAACATAGGTATGTAGATTAAAAATGCTACAGAACAGCCAAACTGTGAATATTAGATAGATTAGCACATTTTGCCATTTTCTAAATTTGCTATAAACAAAACCGAGAAATTTCTATCAGAGAGCTGAAGTTACAAATATTCCCAGTGTGTGAGCTTGCATTATTTGTCCCTCCTTTTATACTTAGATTTTTCTTTAAGATGGTGTGGTTTTTTAATTTTCTTTTTGTTTCAGTGCTCTCTATCATCAGTTTAAGTTATTTCTCCTGCTCTGTGATAGTGCTCTATTTTTTTTTTTTTTTTTTTGGTAAATGTACTAATTTGTCTTAGGTTTTTACAGGAAAAGAATTAACATCTTCCAGAAGTTAACTTGTGAATCTGAGCTCCGTTGTCATCTGTTTGCATGAACCGTACTAAATTCTTGAATTACATCTGAAGAAGGGGGAAAGACATGAGCTTGCAAGTCACTCAGACTCCTCTGGAAATTTTATGTAAAGTATTTAAGTTGTGGTGGGTTTGGTTTTTTTTCCTCTCTTTTTCTTCAGCACTGTTTTAAAGGGATACATTGTGCTTTTATCAATGTCTTGACAATCAAAATGCTTAGGCTATAAGTGGGTTTGAAAGGACTGTGTGGTGAAATTCAAGCACAGTTGACTCTTACTTTTAATTTTCGTGTTTCTAGCACTTAGAAGTGGAGAGGACTATCACTTACGTCACAGTCTCAGGAGTCTCAGGTTTGTACTTTCAAGGAAGGAAAATTATTTTTCTAAAAGATTTCTGATGGTATTTGTATGCTAAGTGAGGATGCTTCTGTGGGGAAAGGTTGTGTATTTTTATTTAAATGTTTAAACTTAATGCACTTGATGGAAGTAAAGGTCATGTAGCATCTCAGAAGTCTAGAGATCATTTTGTAAGCACTGTGTTGGAGGATACCTGCTCTTTTTCAGCCTTAACACACACAGAATTTTTCTCTTGTGATTGCAGAATGCATGTGTGTCTACTACGCTGAAAATTAGTGTTGGAAAAAGTAAAGGGGCAGGAAACACTGTTCTTGATGATTTAAAAAAAAAAAAGTTGCATATAGCATAAAAAGCCTTTACAGCATTCACTGTGTGATATCAAGGTTTTAGCCAGTCGTTTTTGTGCATGTACTGGGCTAGAAAGTGTTCCATTGAAAGATGGGTCTGAAACAAATTTTTATGTTGAAGTAACTGAGATTTTGGAAAGTTTGGATGTGGATCCCAATTTTTCGGTTTGAATGCATGAATTTAACAAATACAAAGTAAACTTTAGAACTGCTATATCTGCTCCACTTAAGGGAGCGCAATAGGGCACCAATCCAGTAAATTAGAGCCCAAGTCATTTAAGAGAAAACCAGAAAACTTCCATCAGGTCAAGGGAACCTAACTTCTGAGCTTCAGCTGAAATCTTTAAGGTTTTGTGCTATTTCAGAGCCAAAATACTGCAGGTCTAGCAGAATATTCATCTGCATAGTTGGGCTGAAATGGACTGGTGTCAATGCGAAAACCTCCGGTGACAGAAATGAGCTTGGATCAGGCTCCAAACAGGATGTGCCATTCTGTGGAGTATTCCTTCCACTAGTGATAGGCCAACAATATTTCTGCCCATTCATTTGACTTAAATATATGAATTCTTTTTCTATACAGTTATCAATAGTAAAAAAAGCTTTACAGCTACAGGAAACAGTCATTTACGTGAGTCTACCTGCCTTGTATCAAAACACCCAAGAAGGTTAGTTGCATTAGAGTTTTTTTTACCTGCTGCTTCCAATTAAGAATCTATTTAGCTTGCTTTTCTTCAATGGCTTACATGTTGGATAACATAAGATCAAAGACTGCTTCCTATCACTCTGCCTTGAGCCAAAATGCTAATTCTTTCTGTGTTCTTAACTGGTGCTTTGATAGCATATATCACAACACAGGCGA